GGGCTTACTATTAACCGATAGTCTCATTCCAGGAGCTATTGTTACCTTTCATCAAACTAGGCTTGCGTGTAAATCTCTTAGCCTCTTGGGAAGAGCCTTATAAATCAACAATGTTCATGATCTTGATCAGCTATTTGATTATCAGGTAAGTTTTGAGCCTTAAAGACATGTTGACATAGGATGATAGAGTTTTAACTCTTGAAAGCGATGAAGCTAAGTTGAGATTTGTGACGCAAAGAAATGTGATGACACCAATATGCTGTGCAGTGGTTGGATCGGTTTCATACTACCGTCGATATTACTACTCGTGGCTATAGTAATGTTGTGGCGTAAGCAATTCAACAAAGGGAAAGAACCAAAAGCCGTTAGAGTCAAAGCTCCACCAAGTAAAAACGCAGTGGAGCAGCTACTCGTGCTACAAGACGCGATCAGCCAGTTTGAGTCGCTTATCCAAGCTGTTAACGTTGGTCTCCTCAAAACAAGAGCCATTACTCTTGCAATTCTTCCTCAGGTATATAAAAATGTTATAAAAAAACATGATGATGGCTAAAAGATAAAACTGTTTCTTTGGTTTACATATAACTCTCTCTGTCTCTCTTAAATGTTTTCAGGCTACAGATACAATGGCTATTTCGTTTGTGATCGTGGCAGTTATATTGGCTGTTGTCCCAGTGAAGTACTTGATAACGATTGCATTTATAGAGTGGTTCACGAGGGAAGTTGGGTGGAGGAAAGCGAGTAGTGACCGGTTAGAGAGGCGGATAAGAGAATGGTGGTTTAGGATACCAGCAGCTCCGGTTCAGCTCATTAGAACTGATGAAAGCAAGAAGAAGAAATGACTCATTTTCTCTGTTTCTAGACATGCTTTTGGTATTATCATCAAAGCTCAGACTCTTTTTTTTGTATTTCCTTTCTAAAGTAATGTTCTCTGGTTTATTCGGAAATATGAGACGCATAACCTCGTTTCCTCAATGAACCATTGCATTATGGGTTTATCAACGCACAGTTAGTTCAATTTTTTAAAGAGACTATTTGAATTCGATCATCTCTTTGGAGATAAATAGATATAAAACTTTTTAGTAAAAGATTTGGAGGTAAATAATAGATATAAATCTTATAAAAAAGAGCCAGATATTAGCAAGCAGCTTCCTCTTGAAAATTTAAAGAAAAAAAATCTCTCAATAACAGCAGAAACAAAACACAGCACCAAGTTCGGATTATGTTTTCTGGGGGTAAACTTCCCACGTCTCAATCTCTTGACGACATATAATCTCCAAGTTATTGCCTCAGTGAGAGGGAGAGAGAGCGAGAGAGAGTGACAATTTTACCAGCAAGACCGCATCACCGGCGCCTGCCATAATTCTTATGGGACATAAAGAAGTTGAGATCGTTGTGAGTGAAGTCGAGAGTTTCCACCCACGAGGAAGCAGATTTTTCACGCATCTCTATCATCTGCCTATCTGATGTCCCAGGCCTGATCCATATATCACCAAAGGCCTTGTAAGCCACTGCTGCAAATGGAGGAAGCACAACTTTTGGTTTAATTGGCTTTCCTACTTGATTCACCTTATCACCTGCACCAAACTTTTCTGAGAAATCGGCAAGCAAAAACTAGTTTAGATATAACAACATAATGGTCACGAAAGCTGAAAATGCAATCGATCTAACACTTCTTCATAAAACCAACATTTTATGATATTTTACACCACAACGATCACCATACGTTGACTAGTTGTACTTACTGAAAAACTGATTCTGTTTTTGGGAAAGAAAAGAATCGAACTCAGGCATATCTTCGCCTTCCTATTGAGCTAAAAGAACGCAAATGACTTGTGAAAACAGGAAGATGTATTTAGACACTGAAAACAAGTTATGCAGAGCAACTTCGCCATCTCTTGTCATTCACAAGCAATTAATACCAAAATATATGCATAAACCCTTTTCCCTATATCCAAGGGACACTGAGAGAGTAAGCAAATCTAGAACTACTTTTGCGATTTTTTTCTACCGATTGGATCCCTCCCTACCAATTACAAACGTAAAATCCTCATAAGGAAAACTCTTTGTCGTCGACATGGCCAACTAAGAATACAAATATTTCCAAACAAGAGATAAATCCACTCATCTCTCGGAAGAATTCGATTATTACACAAGTTAAAGCAGTAACCCTACTGCTTTTAAGAGCTTATTAAATAGAGAAACCCTAAATAGCAATAACACAATCATACACCTTTTATTTCTCTTTTTATTCTCAGTAAAATAATAATCTCCACCAAATCATTGCTGAATATCTATCGCACTGCATACTATATTAGTTATACAAAGATGGTTAGCAGATATGCGAATCAGTGTGCAACTATTACAAATCGTCCTCCACTAAAGTAGCACGCAACTTAACAAGGACAAAGTACCAGAACTATATGTGCAAATTTATCGAACTACTGCTTTACGTAACATGTGCATGCTCAAAAGCATATGAAAGATATTTTAGCAGGAATTTTATTATAGCTTACATTTTATTGATTTTTTTTTTCTTTCATAAAGACTGGGAAAAAGCTTGCGTTGAAAACGTAATGTTAACTCTCAAATGACCAACATACCTGGAAAGCAGGGCGTCAAAGAATGGTACGTTAGGAATGATGCAGATAATTCCTTCCTGCTGTTCACTGCTGGAATTGGATAAATGGGATACCTAAGAATTCCAATCAACTCAATTCAATATCATCGTTGTTACGAATAAGTTAATGAATTTGGGGTAAGACAGCAACTAAGATGGAATATACATCAAAGGAAGAATGAATGGATTGTCTATTTTTGGAGACTTGTGTGAAACGAAGTGAGAACATAGTAATATCCCCCCATCGGGATATGGCGAGCAATTAACTAATCACTTAGCAACCTATTAAATATGTAAATAAAACGCGCTAAAACTGAATAAGATAATAGAGAACTCGACATACCAAGCTATCGAAATCCAGCTATATGGAGAAAGATCTGAATTTGTCAGAGTATTCAACCCATTGTGCTGCTCAGCTAGATCCCGCATCTACAAAATATATAAGCAAAAAAATCACTTGACATACTCTTTGATTACGTAGAACCAATCCGACATCAAAATGGAAATACAAGATAAGTTTAAGATACCTTGTAAGTAAGAGGACCCCTATCGGACGGTCTTGTTGTCTCGTTATATTGAAAGTAAAGGTAGCCTAAGTGCTCAGGTTGCAAGAAGCGATGCTTATAGTCGCTATAAGGGTTAGGTTTAGCAGATCCTGTCCCTGTACCATCACTTCCTATCACAGAGCTCCTACATTCAGAAAGAGAAAAAAGAAGCACATTACTTGCAAGAACTACTACACGAGCACTCTTAGTCAGAAACAAGAAGCAAACTTGCACAAATATAACACAAATACTCATTTCTAAATTCTAACCCTAAACAAGAAGCAAACCTGCACAAATGTAAACACAGAACACTCTCAT